CGTCCATGCTGGTCCCTACACCAAGCCAATGCTGTCTCTCTCGGTCCACCCGGTCGTTTGGGGTAAAGTTAATGCCCGATTCCTCGATGTAAAGTCGGGTTCCAAGGGAGGGGAGAGTTTTCAGAGGCCTCTGTGAAACACAGCCGTACAGCGCAATCGGACCGTGGACACCGCCACCCGATCGCGCGTGGCCCATGCTTAGCCCCCTTTTGTGCGCCTCGCTTCCTGAGTAATGTTGCCGTGACTCCAATGACTCGAAATCGACTTGGCTCAAATAGCACGTCATGGCCAACATTTATCCTCAATGTTAAATCACATATCAATAGAGTCAATGCACCCACATAACATACACACGACACTCCGCTAGCCATGGGATGGTTGTTGAAAAATGCAGAATTTATCGCTCGACAAGTCGACTCGAGTCATCGACTTACATCATTATAATCACCAGATTTCTCCATACCCAGAAGCTGGATTGCCAAGTGCTGTGGAATCAAATTGCGCCAATATTGACTCTATCTAACACCCATATAACATTGGAATTTGCGTATGACAGTGTTGTGCAATTCAAGTTAAGTCGATTTGGAGTCATTGGAGTCGCGGCAACATTATTCCTGAGCTGCTTCTGTCCTGTGTACAAGGCATCTCGCAGCAACAATAGAGTATCCCGTCCGGCACTATGGCTATAGCAGAAGCCGACCAGGGATAAAAGACTCTTGCCTCGCGTGGAAATCCTCACCGACGTCCGCATCGTCATTTCAAGGTGACTGTACAGGTCACGGAACTCTCGATCGTGATACAGGGATGTTTGGTGAATGTCAACGGTGTGAAGTGTGCCCCAGGACAGAAAATGTTCGACCTACTTTATTTTGTATCTTTGACTTTCTACACAGGACGCAGCGATACATATATACGGTCTGCCCCCGGATATACGACTGGCCGAGTTGAAATACTGCTTTCACGAAATGGGAGATATAACTGACATTCAGTCGTCCGGTGACGGACACGCTTTAGTGGTAACAATTCCCTGGCTCGTTCGTAGAAAATTACCTAAATTCTCTCATAGACATTCACCTGCCTCTCAGCCGCACAAGCCAGTGTCGCCAAATACCATGAAGGCTCCTTCGACAAGAGGAAAATTGGGGTGGAACTTCGGCTTGCTGCGGCTAATACGCTGGCGCTCAACTACGTTCCTCGAGGAGAGTCAACCGGACGATATCGGAAGAGTAAAAAGGCACACCGCCCCCATCAGGCCCCGCCGCTGACTGGGGCGAACAAGCTACCTCTGGGATATGGGTCCGGATCTCTTCTAAGCCGTCCCGTGCGCTCTCGGTCTGGCCCTTCAAATGAAAGGCGCCCTCACCACGTAGGTTTAAAATATGTGGATATCGGTTTACGCGACTGAAGACCTCTAGTATTGCGGCATCCCTCGCCCAAATCCCACCGCCGAGTTGGAATTAGTTCGAAAAGAGAACACCTCGTGGCTTAACAAAATTCGATCCGACTCGCTCTTCGCCTATCCTCGTGCACAAGTACTGGTTGCGCCTAGTCTCTCATAGACAGACGCTACAACAATTTTGGTGCTCGTGCCTCGCATGTTGTACCACCTGGTACAGACCCAGCAGACCAGGGAACTCATTCTAATCGTCACTCCTGAATTCACCTGTAAAATATTGCCTTCGTTACATACTCACCGTAACCTTGAACTTACCTCGACCGTCATCTTGCAAAATTTTCCCTTCATCTTCCTCTCTCACATGGGATCTTTGGCCGTTTATTTTGCAAGCTGCTGCCATTTGCTCAGAGTCTCGCTTGACTTGGTCATTGAGTCGTTCGAATATACAGCAGGAAGACGAAGTACCTCTTGGAGGACTGTAATGATGCTATTCTCAAAATCGTGGTTATGCTACGGGTCAATGATACAAACAAACTTACAGCTCTTTGCGGTACAACAGGCGCGGTCTGTTTTTTTTTTTTCTTTCCTGTTTTCGCAAGTTTTCACTAGAACAGCTGCCCTGAGCTCAATTCTCAACCGTTTTCCTTGAAAATCGGCTCATTTGATTTGCATTGAAAATCCACAGCGAATAAAATACCGGTATTTTTGATCCTTTTACGTAATAAAATTTCTTCCGGAAAAACTTGGTTTTGAGTAGGACACCTATAGCATTCGGAATACTGCCCCGATTAGCCTAATCTTTGGATATGCTATACATCTGATATGACTCTAGCCAATGCGAGTGTTTACGGAGCTTAATGTACTCAAACTTCTATGGGCAGCTCTACTTATGGTTGTGTCTGGATATCTACTTCGCTAAAGTGTGCACTAAATCACAATCACTCAGCATGTAGTATAAATAAATACACCATTGTCTAGGGCCACATCAGATGTATAACATATCCAAAAATTAGGCTAATCGGGGCAGTATTCCGAATGCTACAGGTGTCCTACTCAAAACCAAGTTTTTCTGGAAGATATTCTATTACGTAAAGAGATCAAAAATACCGGTATCCTATTCGCTGTGGATTTTCAATGCGAATCGAATGAGCTCATTTTCAAGGGAAATGGTTAAGAATTGAGCTCAGGGCAGCTGTTCTAGTGAAAACTTGCGAAAACAGAAAGAAAAAAAAAAAAAACGGACCGCGCCTGTTGTACCGCAAAGAGCTGTAAATGCCAATGTGAGGAGATATTTGGGCAGTCGGAGTCAGCAGACTCTCATTACAGCTCTTTGCGGTACAACAGGCGCGGACCGTTTTTTCTTCCTTTTTGGGCATTTTGTGATCCCCGCGACTAGGACACTCGTTGCGGCCTCAATCCTCATCCGTTTGCCTTGTCCATGGGCTCATTCGAAGCGCATTGCAAATGCGCACACAATCGCCTCCTCAGATTTTCCGTTTTGCATTGGAAGCTGCTTCTTGAGGCATGAAATCAGAATTTTGGTGACTTTTCTGAGAATTTCTCACCAGAACAGCTGTTCTGCCCTCAGTTCTTCGCCCTTTTCCTTAAGTATAGGCTCAATCTCTCATGATTTCAAATGCAAGGCGAACCGCCGCCTCAGATTCGTTATTCTGACCCCGAATACCCCGACTCGACATGGAAACTCCGCAACAGCTCATCACGTTTGATCAGTGGTCGGTAGAACAGCCGCTGCAGACTCGAACATTGCTCAATTGTTCCCCCCATAGGCTCATTTTCTTCGCATGATAAATGCGCACAAGGACACATCTTCATGTTCCTCTGAATGTGCCCACAAGCCATCCGTGACAGAAGTCTTCTTTGCGAACCATGCTTTTTTTGTTGAACAGCATTGAGGACCTTCTTGGATGCCCACTAACCAATATCTGTCTGGATATCACACCTCAGGCCATTTTACTGGAGGAAATGTATACTTATATTGACCGGATGCATCCTATATCATATTTTCCATGTATTTTCACCTGTAATGAGCGAGAAAAAAGAGATTTTATGAAGTATGTGATTAGGAATTCTGAGGACACAGTTCGCTGCGGATTTGAGACACGAATCGTATGAGCATAACGACGAGGGAAACGATGAGGATTCGAGACCGCAGCAACTGTTTGACTGACCGCCAATCAGAAGTGATGACCCGCCGTCAATATCGTGTCCCCAGGTGTCCTATTCGGGACCACGATGGAATTCCGAGGAGGCGGTTCGCTTTGCATTTGAAATCCGGAGAGATTGAGCCTATACTTAAGGAAAAGGGCGAAGAACTGAGGGCAGAACAGCTGTTCTAGTGGGAAATTCTCAGAAAAGTCACCAAAATTCTGATTTCATGCCTCAAGAAGCAGCTTCCAATGCAAAACGGAAAATCTGAGGGGGCGATTGTGTGCGCATTTGCAATGCGCTTCGAATGAGCCTATGGACAAGGCAAACGGATGAGGATTGAGGCCGCAACGAGTGTCCTAGTCGCGGGGATCACAAAATGCCCAAAAAGGAAGAAAAAACGGTCCGCGCCTGTTGTACCGCAAAGAGCTGTAATATCCCTCAAAAATGATTTCCCCAAGTTTGAGATTTTTTCGAAGCTTGTGGCAGGCGAACAGAATAAAACATGGTGTATCATTTATCCGTAAGCCGAAAATCAGTGCCAAACAATGACCAATTCGCGGTCTTATCCTGCGATTACCAAGGTCTATATGGACCTAAAATACACTCAGTAAATGTTTCTCATATCAGGTCTCAATATAGAACAGGATTTATGGCCAATGGTTCATTGCAGGGAGAGAAAACAGTACCTTGCGCGTTGTTTCCTCCGTGATGTCCTCTGGCTAGTGATGTGCTGTATCCACTGGGTTTGATGGCCATGCTGCACAACTTGAACCCACTGTGTTTCTCTGGAATAGGTGATTGATTCTGAGCTCCGTACACAACACATGTTCTTGAACGATTTTTGTGACCGTTTCTGTGGCTTCTGACCTGCTGCCTGCCTTGGACTGGCCACTGGGTTACTGGTTCAACTTGGTGACCTGAACTTGCAGAGGTTCTAACAGTGGGTTGAAACAAAAGTTCAATTCAGGTCTCCAGTGGAGACGCACGACCTCGGCCAGCAAACAAGATAAAAGCAGGAAGAGGTGCAGTACAAGGTGCGATGCTTCACCTTCGCCTCGAGGCAGCGCCTAATCTACTGATCTCGCTTCAGCCAAACACAACCTGCCGCGCCAATGCGCTAACCCGAACCTCCCACTACACCGGGTTGCACAGGTAGGCGGCATGTTTCAAGTCTCACCCCTAATTTTCCTGGCAAAACTGGACCATTTGCGTCCATGGAGCAGTTTACCTGCTGAGAACTCCGGTATCCCTCGAAGGTTACTATTACTTGACTTGATCTTTGTGTTGTCATGTAGTCACAGAGCCCACGAGTTTTACCCCGTAGTGCCCAATCAATAACACAAGACCCCAAAACTCCTGCAAACAAAAGAAGGAAATCGAGGGAAGCCAAATGAATCAAGAACCACTGCCCAATGCATGCGCCATGAAAAGAAACGTCACCATGGCCGAGCGGTTAAGGCGCCTCAGCTCGTTGGGTGAGGTCCATCACAAGTTGTTTCCTGAGGACACCTGGGTTCGAATCCCAGTGATGACGTAGGTTTTTCTTTTATTTTATTCTTGGCTCACGCTCAAGGCGGATTTTCAAACGCACATTTTTGCTTGGGTGCAATGTTGTAGCCTCCCTTAGCTCAATATGGCCCATGGATTGCACTATGGTGCGGTTCACCTAGTCACCACTACTTTGTGACAACTGTTAATGCTCCTTCAAAAAAATCTGATTTCCTATTCCTCTTGCGAAAAGACCCCTTTCAGCAGGGGGAAACTTTTCCCAAGACCGAATTTTATTCCAATCAAAATTGAGCAACTTATAAAATTTCAACCGGCCCAAATTGGGACTGCCGCGCAAACCGGCCTCCTGTAGGCCCACAAGCTTTCCAATCCTTTCAGAACATGTTTGTGGACTTCAAATTTAACCTGCAGATTGCAATTATGTTCTATGAGTCCTCATCTCACTGCCGGACCTCACAATACATGTCCATCGACCCAGATGTTTCGCTGCTTTGAGGCATAAATTTGTGGTTGGGCGTGAATACTCTCCGAACGGCACAGAAAAGATGCATCCCCATTAACGGTATGCAAGCGACCTTGCGGCGGCGGCAGCCCAAGCACGCCCAGGTGTCATGCTTTCCATTGCACTGGTCTTCGTGCAAAGGCGTCGTTGGGGACGGGTCCCGAGTCAGGGTTTGGTTAACAGTGGCGAATGCGGCATTTGTACCAACTTGGCTGTCACGGCCTCCCTGGTCGCAGAAGGCCTCAAGCTCCTTGCAGCTCGGGAGCTTGATTACCACCCTTCTAGACTAGCTATGAATCGCACGGAATTCACGGAGCCAGGTGCGCATACGTACTTGGACGAACTTTTTGACGAGGCTAACATGCCAGTATAGTGCTGGCCAAAAATACGATACGAAAAAATATATTTTCAATATATTCAAATACGTATGAATACGATACGGTGCCAGGACCTCTGGCTGAATATGAATACGATACGATATGAATACAATACGATATGGGCCAAACATATTCAAATATATTCTAATACAATAAAGCGTGGGTTTGGCCGCCTGGGGACCTCGATGGATCATCAAATCCATCCCCGGCACACCTGAAAATCGAGACTGATCTGGTCTGATGGTCTTCCAGCCGTTATTCCGGTTTGGATCCGCAAACTCCCGAACATTGAACCATTCAGAAGTTGAAACACCCCAACCTGTGCCAGTTTGTCTCTGTAGGTGGCTGGAGGCAATGTTGCAATTAAAAAACACATTGAGCACACATCCAGACCCCTGTTTTAGCAAGATTTGATGCATTTTTTCTGTGTAAGGTGTGAGGAGAATATATTTGAATATATTCAAAATATATTCATACTGTATTCAGTCAGTGTTGTCTTTGACGGGGTCTAACCGGGCGTCAAGACCCCTTGACCGACCTTTGACCGTTTCGTCAAGGCTGGATTTCCTTTTTTGGAATACCCGTTTTAAATTCGTAGAACCACCAGAAAAATGAGGAAAAAAATCGGATCATTGGGAGAATGCATATACAAGTCGATATCGTCTACCAAGTGGTCCTATAATGCGAACTCATTCGGAAGTTCTTTATCCCACCCTGGCCATGACTCGGAGCATGTTTGAAGCTCTCCCCTCATTCTTTGGATGTTCAAAGTGCTGTGCAGTGTGAGTACAATTGAACAGATGGCCTTTGCCATACATTGCCAGATTGTGCCACATTTCTCATTTCAAAGCCGACATTGATTCCTTTGACCGATTTTGAATTCTGACCGTCCCGCAGCAGTTTTGAGCCATACACGTGTTACATTAATTCATGATCTGACATCGGTATCACTATGGAGCTTTTCACAGGCCATTCGGGGTGCATTCGGAGATGGGGTTGCCCTGTCGTTCACATAGCAGTTTTCCAAACCAGTAAATCTGACCACCTTTCAAAATTGATACTGTAGGTGGATGAAATTCGTCTTGACCACTCAGAACCTCGGATTATGGTCGGGCAATGCTTGCTAGCATTGCACACCAGCCTTAACGATGGTAACGAAGGACTTTTCCAAATTTGGAAAGGTCAGACCGAGGATCAGACCTACCGCAACATCGCCCCACACGGTGACGTCACGCATGGGGCGATGCATCAATTTCCGCCGTGACTGTACATTTACCAGGTACACTTCCTCGAAAAAATCTGCGGATCCTACAAGGGTTCCACACCACTAACCTTTATTAGTAAGCAAAGTTGGGCAGCAGATTATCTTGTGTCTAGTAACTGGTAAGAGCGCAATAGTTCCTCCTACGTAAACCCTGAAATGTGCATTCACGCAGTCCCCGATGCCCTCTATGCCTCTATCTTCATGCAAATGGTCGTCTCCGAGGAATTAAAACATAGTCCATGAACGTACGCCGAGACTTGGGTTGAATCGCACCGCTGGGAAGTGAACTTTTGTCTACCACCGGCTGGTGCCCCTTGTAGACATTTGTGAGACGCTGACGTTTCAAGGCGCGGATGGGGCACCCAGAATCCGGCTGTGTGGTTGGTGGCCGCTTCGCTGGCGTGGCTGGTTTCGGCGTGGTTCGCTTCGCCGGCCGTTTCACCACGATTCGAGACGAATTGCTGGGACTCGCGTTTTTGGTATACCCGTCCTTCAGTGGTATCAGTCTCCCCGCCCACGCTTGCTGAGAAACAGAACAAATGAAGTGCATCTACTGACCTGAACTAGAAGTATCACCTCCATCTCCTCTTCCACGTCTGCGAGTGGTGCAAGCTGTTGGCTACTCGATGCGTCGTCAGTGCTGGAGGTAGCTTCTCCCTTGTTGGATAGCGGCGCAGGCTGCCCTCACATTAGTCATGGTAAACAAGATATGATCTCTCATACCCTCACATGGCCGCCACATTTTGACTTATCAGAAACTGTCAGGAAGTCACTGGAATCAGGGGGAAAAGCCAGACTTTTTCCGTGGGAAGCGCTCCGTCCTCCTCCTCTTGATCGAGATGGAAGAAATCCGGGCTGCTCTTGACGGCAACTAACAGGGATTAAATGATCTCGGATTCACATCGAAATGAATGTTTTCATTGGCACCTGCTACCCGAGCCTTATGGGCAATGGTTTTACTGGAGGTCATCTTTTGAGTTATCTCGGTTGGGAAAAGTTTGGCATTGGTCTCCTCCATCACTTGCCAGTGGGCAAAGACCGACTTGGAAGGGGAAACGAGGTTGGAGGTTGGTCGAGGTGAAAGACAAAGGAATTGATGCCAACATGTGTTTGGCCGGCCTCACTCCGCAAATTGATCACCTGACCACAACATCGCTTTTCACCATCCTGGTAGGTAGGTGGGTAGGATTACATGGCGCGAGGAATGTCGGTTTGAGGAAGTATCCCGGTGTATTACAGGCTATTTATGTACACCATTGTCCCTTAGCTGTAGGGCTCCACGCAATAAACCACGCAAATCTATGCAATAAACTATGCAAGATTTTGCAATAAATGAGGGCAGGGGAGTGGCAGTCTTCAACGATGTTGCGACGTGTGGAGATGGTAGCGAGATATTCAGAACGGGGATTGTTTGGCGAGCATCACACCAGCGACCAAAATCCGACGCAGCATACATCTGTTGCTGAAATTTAGCTCAGTTGCGCCGCCCGAGTGGAAGTCTCATGTTGGACCAAATAACAGTGCAAACTGCTTCCCAAATCTTTGTTTAAATTTCAAGGAAATGAGTAAAACAATATCTCGAGTTCATGGAACATAGAACAATGAGCACACTTGTGGAAGAATTTCACGAAATTCCACGAAAATTTCACAAAGTATCGAAATTTTTTGATCACAGAATATTTTATCGAAAAATTTCAGGGGAGGTTTTCCTGATGTAGATTTAGCTGGCAGTGTAAGTGTAAGTGTTCACTGCTCATCGCCTATTTCTTGCTCATGATTCAAAACCACCAAATTTCATTTGCACATACAGATGGATTTGCGCTCTGTGCTTTACACCGCAAGCCATTCAGTCCACACCCCAATCTCACCATCCTACATGGCTGGAAAGGGAAATAGTTATGGTCCCGTATGCCTCAGATTTGGGTTTTGAGTGTATACAATAATGTAGTTAGATCCTCTGAGTGATTTGGGATGCACTGGGGTCAATAGTATGAGTGCCAACCAACAATTTGGCCCCAAATAATGCAGCATCCCCGCTTCTCTGCGATCCGCACCTCCGCCCTTCACACACCACAATAGACCGCAATTCCTTCAGTGATCATCAACACGATATTCAACACTTCTGTGTTTCCCTGCTGATTTTACTCCATCGAAGCGCAGCTCTCTGAACACATTGGCACCTCTCTCCTTGCATTCCAGGCAGGCTCGTCATTCGTTGCTCCTTGCAGGTCATCGACGTATAACGCTATGACAACGATGATATCTCCACGACGGCATAGATGGTCCGATTAGAGACGGGTGAAGCCCAGGGACTTGAATATGGAGTCAATGAGGCGATACCATTGGCATTGGCAAGCCGATTGTAAGACTAGACTTGTTACCAGTTAGGCTCGTGACTACTAACTGCGCTTGGGCGAGCCAAGTTGCCATAGGCACAAGGTCACGAGCCTAGTTACCAGTCTGCTATACCGCAATTGAGTGAGGTTAATTGCCGTAGGCAGACTGGTACAACTCGGAACATTGTGGGGTTCGAAATGCCATTGTGAGCCACGGGGTTCAAAATAGGTCCCTTGTCCCTCCGAGGACAGCCGAAATACATTTTTTGCCCTTTCTTGCGGGGCATTCAAATCCGGAATGCAGGGCATTTATTTTGAGCTGCTGAAATCAAAATGCGTTCTCACTGGGTTTGAAAAGAAGAAGAAGTCGAGCACGAGGCCGAACAATGTGTCGTTGACACCAAAATCGGTCAAAACACTGTTTACGCTATTCCAGCTCTAGGAGCAATTCCACAATTTTCTTGAGCTCCTGAAATCAAAGGCCACCATACTACATGCCTCCTTGCCTGCTTTCAAAAAAAAATTAACCCAGAAGAAGTCGAGTGG